AGAGGACAATAGAGGAGGTGGGTAAAAGAGGAGGGAGAAGAACCGAAACGGTGATGAGAATAGGGGGGTTTTGGTTTTCAGAAGGTGAGAAAAAAATGAGCTGGCGGGTTTTGTCAGATATCCAGCCCATATCCCAACTCAATGAGGGGAATTTACAAATCATAAATTATATTACTTTTTTATAATTTAGGGATTCAATATCACAAAACTAACTTTGAAACAAACAAGGTATATGGAATACCAAAACTCAAAAAAAAACCGATTTTTACATCCCAAAACTTGAAATCCACACTATATCCCAAAAAAAACACCCCCTAACTTGATGATATAACACTATTTTTTTAATTTTTAATAATAAAAAGGCTTGCAATAAATATGGCAGCCAAACTTTCAAGAAAATCGCAGCTGATCAAGGTTTTAACGACATTTTTCGGGTGGATGACGAGGCCATAGGGGACAATAGAGGAGGCGGGTAAAAGAGGAGGGAGAAGAACCGAAACGGTGATGACAATAGGGGGATTTTGGTTTTCAGAAGGTGAGAAAAAATAAGCTGGCGGGTTTAAGCTGGCGGGTTTTGTCAGATATTCAGCCCATATCCCAGATCAATGAGGGGAATTTATAAATCATAAAATATATTACTTTTTTATAATTTGGGGATTCAATATCACAAAACTAATTTTGAAACAAACAAGGAATATGGAATACCAAAACTCAAAAAAAAACCCATTTTTACATCCCAAAACTTGAAATCCACACTATATCCCAAAAAAAAACACCCCTTAACTTGATGATATAATACTATTTTTTTAAAATTTTTAATAATAAAAAGGCTTGCAATAAATATGGCTGCCAAACTTTCAAGAAAATCTCAGCTAATCAAGGTTTTAACGACCTTATTCGGGTGGATGACGAAGCCACAAGGGACAATAGAGGAGGCGGGTAAAAGAGGAGGGAGAAGAACCGAAACAGTAATGAGAATAGGGGGATTTTGGTTTTTAGAAGGTGAGAAAAAATGAGCTGGCGGGTTTTGTCAGATATCCAGCCCATATCCCATCTCAATGAGGGGATTTTACAAATCCTAAAATATATTACTTCTTTATAATTTGGGGATTCAATATCACAAAACTAATTTTGAAACAAACAAGGTATATGGAATACCAAAACTCAAAAAAAACCCATTTTTACATCCCAAAACTTGAAATCCACACTATATCCCAAAAAAAAAAACACCCCCTAACGTGATGATATAATACTTTTTTTTATTTTTTTAATAATAAAAAGGCTTGCAATAAATATGGTTACCAAACTTTCAAGAAAATCGCAGTTAATCAAGGTTTTAACGACCTTATTCGGGTGGATGACGAAGCCACAGGGGACAATAGAGGAGGCGGGTAAAAGAGGAGGGAGAAAAACCGATACGGTGATGAGAATACAGAGATTTTGGTTTTCAGAAGGTGAGAAAAAATGAACTGGCGGGTTTTGTCAGATATCCAGCCCATATCCCAGCTCAATGAGGGGATTTTACAAATCCTAAAATATATTATTTTTTTATAATTTGGGAATTCAATATCACAAAACTAATTTTGAAACAAACAAGGTATATGGAATACCAAAACTCAAAAAAAAAAACCCATTTTTACATCCCAAAACTTGAAATCCACACTATATCCCAAAAAAAAACACCCCCTAACTTGATGATATAATACTATTTTTTTAATTTTTAATAATAAAAAGGCTTGCAATATGGTTGCCAAACTTTCAAGAAAATCGAAGCTGATCAAGGTTTTAACGACCTTATTCGGGTGGATGACGAAGCCACAAGGGACAATAGAGGAGGCGGGTAAAAGAGGAGGGAGAAGAACCGAAACGGTGATGAGAATAGGGGGATTTTGGTTTTCAGGTGAGAAAAAATGAGCTGGCGGGTTTTGTCAGATATCCAGCCCATATCCTAGCTCAATGAGGGGATTTTATAAATCCTAAAATATATTACTTTTTTTATAATTTGGGGATTCAATATCACAAAACTAATTTTGAAACAAACAAGGTATATGGAATACCAAAACTCAAAAAAAACCCATTTTTACATCCCAAAACTTGAAATCCACACTATATCCCAAAAAAAAAACACCCCCTAACATGATGATATAATACTATTTTTTTATTTTTTTAATAATAAAAAGGCTTGCAATAAATATGGTTACCAAACTTTCAAGAAAATCGCAGTTGATCAAGGTTTTAAGACCTTATTCGGTTGGATGACGAAGCCACAGGGGACAATAGAGGAGGCGGGTAAAAGAGGAGGGAGAAAAACCGATACGGTGATGAGAATACGGAGATTTTGGTTTTCAGAAGGTGAGAAAAAATGAACTGGCGGGTTTTGTCAGATATCCAGCCCATATCCCAGCTCAATGAGGGGATTTTACAAATCCTAAAATATATTATTTTTTTTATAATTTGGGGATTCGATATCACAAAACTAATTTTGAAACATACAAGGTATATGGAATACCAAAACTCAAAAAAAAAAAAAACCCATTTTTACATCCCAAAACTTGAAATCCACACTATATCCCAAAAAAAACACCCCCTAACTTGATGATATAATACTATTTTTTTAATTTTTAATAATAAAAAGGCTTGCAATAAATATGGCTGCCAAACTTTCAAGAAAATCGAAGCTGATCAAGGTTTTAACGACCTTATTCGGGTGGATGACGAAGCCACAAGGGACAATAGAGGAGGCGGGTAAAAGAGGAGGGAGAAGAACCGAAACAGTGATGAGAATAGGGGGATTTTGGTTTTCAGAAGGTGAGAAAAAATGAGCTGGCGGGTTTTGTCAGATATCCAGCCCATATCCTAGCTCAATGAGGGGATTTTATAAATCCTAAAATATATTACCTTTTTTATAATTTGGGGATTCAATATCACAAAACTAATTTTGAAACAAACAAGGTATATGGAATACCAAAACTAAAAAAAAAACCCATTTTTACATCCCAAAACTTGAAATCCACACTATATCCAAAAAAAAAAACACCCCCTAACATGATGATATAATACTATTTTTTTATATTTTAATAATAAAAAGGCTTGCAATAAATATGGTTACCATACTTTCAAGAAAATCACAGTTGATCAAGGTTTTAACGACCTTATTCGGGTGGATGACGAAGCCACAGGGGACAATAGAGGAGGCGGGTAAAAGAGGAGGGAGAAAAACCGATACGGTGATGAGAATACAGAGATTTTGGTTTTCAGAAGGTGAGAAAAAATGAACTGGCGGGGTTTGTCAGATATCCAGCCCATATCCCAGCTCAATGAGGGGATTTTACAAATCCTAAAATATATTATTTTTTTATAATTTGGGGATTCAATATCACAAAACTAATTTTGAAACAAACAAGGTATATGGAATACCAAAACTCAAAAAAAAAACCCATTTTTACATCCCAAAACTTGAAATCCACACTATATCCCAAAAAAAAAACACCCCCTAACTTGATGATATAATACTATTTTTTTAATTTTTAATAATAAAAAGGCTTGCAATAAATATGGTTGCCAAACTTTCAAGAAAATCGAAGCTGATCAAGGTTTTAACGACCTTATTCGGGTGGATGACAAAGCCACAAGGGACAATAGAGGAGGCGGGTAAAAGAGGAGGGAGAAGAACCGAAACGGTGATGAGAATAGGGGGATTTTGGTTTTCAGAAGGTGAGAAATAATGAGCTGGCAGGTTTTGTCAGATATCCAGCCATTTTCCCAGCTCAATGAGGGGATTTTACAAATCCTAAAATATATTACTTTTTTATAAGTTGGGGATTCAATATCACAAAACTAATTTTGAAACAAACAAGGTATATGGAATACCAAAACTCAAAAAAAACCCATTTTTACATCCCAAAACTTGAAATCCACACTATATCCCAAAAAAAAACACCCCCTAACTTGATGATATAATACTATTTTTTTAATTTTTAATAATAAAAAGGCTTGCAATAAATATGGCTGCCAAACTTTCAAGAAAATCGCAGCTGATCAAGGTTTTAACAACCTTTTTCGGGTGGATGACGAAGCCAAGGGGGACAATTTGTAAATCTCAGGTTTTAATTTGTTTTTTCGTGGCAACAAGCTTCTAGTGATCACGCACGCGCTTGAGTGACAATGATACACAGTATCAAACAACATCTGCTGCAACAAAAATTTTACTGTAACAAATGTCCGAGACAAACACCATACAGAAAAACAAAGAAATCCAACTACAGATAGGGACATCCGTTGATCTGCTAGGATTCTTCTCATTTCTGCGTTTCTGTCCGTTTCAACTTTCAAGTATTAAACAACATTCGCTATAAAAGTGAAAGTAATATAAAAAAAATTCTCTGTAAAGTACTTTGGATAAGCCCTAAAGCAGTGAATCCAGTGATAATGTAAACAAAGGCTGTTCCCTGAGCACACCTCTAAAAAAAAATATTAGCTACGCAATACGGATTGTCACATATAATGCATGCAGCCAAGAATTTAAATTCAGCAGCCACTTCCTAAAGTTCTAACTATTTAGTAAATGGCACATGGGAAATCCATATCACAACATTTAGCACTTATTATGACTTTTTCTTATTCTATTATGCTTCATGAAATGGAACAATTCAAATACGAAATTTTGGGGTTTCCCGAATAGGGTAATGAAGAATGCAATTTGCTGATCAGCCACATCCAAATCAAAATTTTCGGCTAAGGGCATGGGAAGAAGATAAACAGCAAAAGAACTACATACATGCACAAGTTTTGGTAAAGAATTAGTTTGAGGCAAATGACAGAATATTTTCATCGGAGAACTGAGAAGTGCTCACTTCATCAACAAGTAAAATTCTTAAAAATCTACAAAACAGAATATGGCTAATAACATAAGGTTTACAAAGCAAGCTAGAATTGACACCGCAGGCCGCATTCATAAACAATAACATGAAGAAATGACACCGGATGTTAGGTATCAGAAATTTAAAAAGAAAACTTAGCATGTCATATATTCTAAGTTCAGTTTCATATAAACAGGCTCAACTCTGATTCGTGCAAAAGCTCAATGGCATTCGAAAAAAACATGAACAAACCCATAATGCATTAGACGCGTATCATCATCTGCAGACTAAACCGAGTGTTCATAGCATCACTAAAGAACCAAAACACAGTTCGACATTCATCATCACATCAAGATGATAGCAATATATCATTTTAATCCCGACAAAACAACAAGCGAAACGAGACACCCAAACCCCAAATCTTTCAATGCAAGAGGTTGAAAAGATCATGTGGACTAGGGTTTCACTTCTGGAGCATCGCAGCCTGAGCCTCCTGCTGCTGCTGGTAGTTAAGAGGCCTACGGAAGAGCATGATGTGAGGCTCCGGGCGGTGGATCGCGTAGTGTACCCACCCTCTGCTCTGCTGAACTCCGCCTCCACTCGTTCTATCAAATCCAATTCCCAACCACATTTGGATAAATTTCAGAACAAGAAGAAAACAGTTGGATGGTTTGCAAGAAACGAACTTGAACTATAAAAATTAGAGAGAACCCTCTTTAAACTTTTGGGAGTTTTACGAAACCCCCCAACCCTTAAAACGTTTTCGCCTTCTAATCTAGCATTTAAGCCCTAAACCTTAAAAAAGTGCCCCTCTGCGATGAATCCACACCAATTTTCAGGTCGGGTTTTGCGAAATTTACCCTTAAAGATCCCAACTTCAAGCAAAGAAACTCTAAAATAAGTATAAACTTTTCGAAAGAAAGCCCTAGAATTTTGGGATTACCTCAGAGAGAAGGCGATTCTTGGGCAGCGTCTTCGCAACATCAGGCGGGAGGACAACGTGCCTGAATTAACCAAAAGATCGTCAATAATCATCATATTTCTGTAATTCAAGATCAAATCGAAGATATAATCGAACAAAAAACGCACAAAAATAGGGTTTTTTTCTTTTTTTTTTGATTGAATGAGCACCTGTACTCGTAGGTATCGTCGAAGTATTTCTCCGAGTACTGAATCTGTCCCATTTCCTCGCTTGGTTTCTGTTAATGATCAAGATTTTAAGAGATTAAAGATTGATCGAACCCCTAATACTCAGATCGAAACCCTAGAATTTTTTTTTTTAAATAAAGCGAGAGAAAGGTGGGGAACCTAGAGTGGGGGAACCTGAACAAAAGGGGAAAAGAGTGGGTGAGAGAGCGATAGAGAGAGAGAGGAGCGCTCCTTCGAAAATCGCGAATGAGGAATTTAAGGGCTCATGATTTATTTATTTATTTATTAGCGGTTGGGCCTGCCCAAGCTTTAGCTAAATAAGTTTTAAATAAAATATGGATGTTATGTAAAACATAATAATATAACAAAAGACTATAGTTTAGTTACACATACAGTGACTGCACAGTAGCTCCTGCAAAAAAGTTCTCATGTTTGAAAAACACCCGGGATTTGTTTAACTGTTAATTCTTTTCGGGCACTTGTAAATTTGCAAATTGCCTAAGACCATCTCCAACGCGACGCCAAATTGCCGCAAACCGCTATTTTGTCGCTGCTCCGGAGCTCCAACGCAGCGCCATTCTCCGCTGCATTTTAGCGGGGATGAACAGCGCGACGCT